AGTGGCTGCTCCTTGGTGCCCCGCCTCCAGCTCTCGATCGAGACCTGTGAAAGCAGGACTTAGTTTTTTTTTTTTTAATGCGTATTGGTGTGAGGTGTCAGATACCCTGGAACTGGAGTTACAGACAGCTGTGAGCCACCATGTGGGTGCTGGGATTTGAACCCGGGTCCTCTGAAAGAGTAGCCAGCGTTCTTAACTGCTGAGCCATCTATCCAGCCCCTAGAATTTTCTCTTTAAACCTTCCTGGAGATCAAAAGCAAAAAGCTCGGGTGGGCTCCTGGTTTCTCCCTCCCAGTCACTGGGAGCAATGACCCAATGGCTTCTGTGCCACAAAAGCACAGACAGACAGGCGGTCTGATGTCACAGAAGGATCTGTACAAGAGGTGGGGTACTCAGCTGCAAAACATGTCCTTACACCCTGGGGTGACTCTCAGTGTCCAGAGTGGGAAACAGTCTGGGAATGGCTGGAGGTCCCACACAGGTGCTGATGGTGGTATTGGGACTGGAGAGGAGGTCAAGTCTGAGATTCTGCAACTAACGGCATTGCCTTGGGATTGGGGGGGGGCAGTAGCATGAAAGGCAACAGAGGAGAACAGAGTTCAGGACACCACCCTGAAGTTGCAGGGGCAGACACAGATGCAGGTGACAGAGAACAGAGGAGGGGACGCAGCCAAGGTGCAGATGGAAGACAGGCCATGAGCCAGCGAGGAGCTGGATGGGAAGACGGGGAATGGGTGGGTGGGTGGGTGGTGGACGGGTAGTTGGATGAGGGTGTGTGGATGGATGGGTGGATAAATGAATGGGTGGGTATGAGCATGGACAGATGGATGGATGGGTGGGTGGGTGTATAGATGGATGTGTGGGTGATGTATGTTGGAATGGATAGCTGAGTGTGTGTATGGATGTGTGCGTATATGTATGGCTGGTACCCTCGGTTCCACTGACCCATGTCTGTCCCACACCCTTCTCTCTGAACAGAGAGGTCCCTGGGAATTCTGAGTTGGGCCGTTCTCTGCCCTCGACATCCTGTGCCTCCCCTTCCCCGTGAGTTAAAGCCCAAGTCACTCTCTCTTCCCTAACCCTGCGTCCTCTCTGACCCTCACTTTCTCTGCTCCACCACAGGCGATGCTTGCCTGCCTCAGGGCTCCTGCGGGCTGGGCCCTCTGTGTCCCTCCCCTGGTCCCTTCACCAGTGCTCACAGTCTTGCCAGAGCCTCCCCAAGGTCTCCACTGAGACACTCGCCGTCGGAGTTCCTGTGGTAGACCTGTGTCAGGGAGACAGGCCGGGGTGTTCAGTGCCCACCGCAGTCATAGCCTGGCCAGTGGGCTGAGGTCAGCCAGCACCCTGGCTGTGGAGGCCTTGCCATGACTCCCACCGCAGACCAGCGCACAGGGTAATGGAGAAAGAATGACGGCCAGCCTGGGCTACAGAGTTAACTCCTGTGTGCGGAACATGTTAATAATCAGAGAAAAATCAAAAAAGAAGACACTTTTCCCTTGAAGGCATCAGTGTCCTGGCATCCCCATCCTGCACAGGCCTCTGCCCAACCTCAGCCCCCCACATCAGCCACCATCCCCCTCCCCTCCCCCCTCCCCTCCCCCTCCCTCTCGGCCCCCTCCCCCTCGGCTCCCTCCCCTCGGCCCCCTCCTCCTCAGCCCCCCTCCCCCTCGACCTCTCCCCTCGACCCTCTCTGCCCCCTCCCCCTCCGTCTCCTCTCTCCTGGCTGCCATCCCAGTGAGTGATGACCTTCAGTGCGCAAGCGTAAGCTTTTCACACCCTGGCCCGGCCCACGTGAGCCTGGGAAGAAATGTAAAGGTCGTGGTCTATAATTGAATTTTCCTGGAGATAAAAATAGAATCTTTGTAATCGGTTAAATGGCTCCCAGGAAGGCGGGGCTATGCAGGGATGGGGACGCAGGGGGCTCCTGCAAGGGCAAGGGAGGCCTGCTGGATGCTTGGGAAGTCCCGTGAGGCTCCCGGCTTCTTCCCCAGCTCCACAGACGCCTGGGGGGGGGGGCAGCAGAGCTGAAGCAGGAACAGCAGAGACTGGGTGAGCCTGGGCTACATAGGAGATCTGGGTCAGCCTGGATGACACAGACCCAGAAGAAATGCCTGTGGGCAACACCATCAACTCCATGTGGCAAATAGGAAAACTGAGGCATGGAGCGGCAGCCCCTGTCAAGTGGCTGCTGAAGTGGAGATCTGGAATGTTCTCGAGGGTCTGTGGTTACAGGCAGGTTACGGCGCTACTTAGAGGTGGTGGGACCTTTAAGGGGCGGGCATGGTGCGAGGAAGTGAAGGCTTTGGGGCTTGTCCTCCAGTGTCCTGGGGTCACCTGAAACCCACCTTGAAGTGCAGAGACCTGAACCCAGGCCTCTGCGAGGGCAGCAGCCAGTGCTCTGGGCATTGGGCGGCCGGCAGCTCCATGGAGGTTTTACACTTTCTGCACACAGTGAGTGGCCAATGCGTGCCGGCTCTCTGTGGTGCCATTTCGAGAATTTCCCCGCTCACAAAAGCTACGAGGACATGGGACTTGCTGCATACAGGGAGGTGGGGCTCACACTGGGTACCCCTCTCCTCCCCATGTGACTTCCTTCCCAGCTCCCCCTCAAAACAGCGCCTGTATCTGGAATGTTTTCTGCCTGTTTGACATCTCATTAGGGCAGACAGGCATTACTTCCCCACCAGGAACCCACTCACCACTCACAGCACCTAGGACCCTACAGACTGAAGCCCTCAGGTGAATCTGGCCCCCAGTTTACTTTTATAAATAAAGTTTTATCGACACACAGCCCTGTTGTTTGTCTGCAGCCAGTGGCTGCTTTCAGAGACCCCCACAGGCCGGGCGTTGGTGGCACACACCTTTAATCCCAGCACTCGGGAGGCAGAGGCAAGCGGATCTCTGTGAGTTCGAGGCCAGCCTGGTCTACAGAGCAAGTTCCAGGACAGCCTCCAAAGCCACAGAGAAACCCTGTCTTAAAAAAACAAAAACAAAAACGAAAAAACAGAGATCCCCCACAGATAGGGTGTGGGGGGGAGGGTGGTTCTAGAAATATCTCCTTTGTTGTCAGCCTCTGTCCATGGAACCTGAGATGACCTGTGTGATAGACTGAGACCAGGCCTCACCTGGCCCCCACCCCAAGCTGCTGACATTTTGAGTTTATCAGTCCCTGACGCCCGTTAATCATCCGAACCGAGTGATTAGTTAGTTCATCTTTATGTATGTGGCCCCAAGTCTAATTATCCGGACCGCAGTGGAAAGGGTTCTAATTGTCACCCAGCACATCAGGACCGTTATGTACTGTTCTTGGTCGCCTGACAGCTGTGGTCTCCCTGCTCTCGAGGGATCACCCAGGTCCTGGGGCCTGAAGTCGCAGCCCGCACTCAGGGACACTGTCCAGCAGGCATGTGTTCTCCAGGGTCACAGATCCCGGTTACAGGGCGTCACATTGTCTTAGAACGTCTCTCTAATGCTGGAGCGCCATGGAAGCCGGGCACAGTAGAGTGCCTAGGATTCGGTAAGACAGAACAGGTATTAGGTGCATAATTTGTTCTGTGTTCTTGAGACGGGGTCCCACGGTGTAGCCTTGACTGGCCTGGAACTCACTATGTGGACCAGGCTAGCCCTGAACTCAGAGACCGCCTACCTGGGTCTGTGTTGAGACAGGGTCTCTCAGGCCAGTGAGGCCCAGGCACCCATCCTCCTGTCTCCTCCGCAGTGTTGGCGTTGGATGCCCACAATGCACCTGGCACTGTACACGGGTTCTGGGGATTTGAACTCAGCACCTCACACTCTCACTGCAAGCACTTTACCCAGGCCCCCATCTCCCTAGCATCAAGGTTGTACCACATAATAATTCAACTGAGGTGGTTTCTAGAAATTCCTTTGGTGGATGGAGAGCGAGCAAGGGTGAGGAGGGTGCCAGCCTAGGCTGCACCATGGGACCTGAAAGTTGTTTTGTGACACACGCTGTCACTGACTGCTACACATTGTGACAGACAGCCCATGCACCCTCAGAGGTGCAGGAGCAAAGCCTGAGGACTCACATTCGATTCTGAGGGTGCACCGCGGGGCTCTCGGTCGGGCGAGCCCTGCGACTGCTTTGCATAAGAAACTGGAGAGGCTCCAGTGTGTTCCCTGGTAAGTCACCGGGAAAGTGGCAGAGCAAATACGGCTGGGGAGATGGGGTTCCCCACCCTGGAGCTTTTGCACGACTGCTAAATCCTCCCCAGCAACTGTCACCCTGCTCCCTTCTGTCTGTCCCTCAAGGACACCGGCAGGGACATTTGCTGCTGTTTTGTTCATTGTCTGGTCCCTGGCACTGTGTCTGGTACACAGTTGGTGCTCAATACCTGAATGAATCAAAGACAGAGGGTCTGGGGCCAGGTCTGCCGCCCACCCTGCTGAGGGCTTTTCAGTCTGTGGTCTGTGACAACCTCCTCTGTTGCACCGTCTGGCAGATGTCCCCAGGACGGAACATCAGGGCCACATTCGGCTGGCAGCTGGCGGGAGGCCCAGTGACGAGGTCTCCACCCTGAAACCCCACGACCAGGCAGACCCGTTTTCCCCCGCTGACCCCCATCCAGGGCCACACGGCCGCTGTGGATGACTCCTGCCCGGCATCAGACGCAGCAGCGGGGCCTTTGCACGGCATCGTGGCTGAGCCACGCCCCGGCCGTCTTCATGTTTTGGGGGGACAGAGGCTGGTTGAGTAGCCCAGGCTAGCCCTGACCCTACTACCCCCAGACCCCAGTGCCGGGTGAAGTTTCTAGAAGCAGAAGGGGTCGACTGGAGGCCCCGACTCTTCCTGAGCATCTATCAGAGATTTTGGGGAAAAAGGGGGCACGCTGAGGGTCTCCTAGACAAGCCCTCCTTATCCGGTCTCGGGGCCTCCTGGGAGCCAAGGAGTTAAAACCAAGATTCTCATCCAGACCTCAGAGAGCTTCCTGGGCCCTAGCGGTGACCCGGCGGCTGACCTTTGCTGGCAGCAGGCTTAACCAATGAGGAAGCACAGCGGGTGCCGGGGAAACGGTTGCCATGACACCGGGAGCCGCTGGTCCCTGGAAAGGCTTGGTCCGAGGGTGAGGGGCTGGCGGGAGGGGCGGGGAGAGCCTGCTGCGTAACTATGGCAACCCTGCAGCCTACCAGCAGCGCCCCTCTCCCCTCCCCCCCCCCCGCAGAATCACCATGCTCTACCTTGACTTAAATAGGGAAACTGAGACCCAGGGACACCTGTCACTCTTTGCTCTTTTGCTACCTGCTGTGGGTTATGCTCCTGGGATAAAAGCCCACCCTCGGTATGTGCCAATGTCAGGGAGCCCCGCAAGAGACTTGGGGGACCGAACAGGGCCCTTCGGGGTTAGCGGGGGGGGGGGCAACCCCGCAGCGTTTCATGGTGGAGGCACCTCCACAGCCCTCCCTGAGACTTCGAGGTCCCAGCTGGGGCCATGTTGCCACCAGCCGACTGCTGCCCATGGATGCTCCAGCCAGGCTGTTATGGCAGGCTCCTGAGTTCGAGGTCAGCCTGGTCTACACAGTGAGTTCCAGAGCAGCCTGGGCTACAGAGCTGCTAACTAAACGAACCCTACTAACCCTTGCAAATGGCCACTCCAGTCCCTTCCTGCTCATCAGAATTCCCCCAGCACAGCAGCAGGGTCACAAGCCGCTGTCACTCCCTCCCCCTTCCCCTCCCAGTCCTGGGAACAGCACTTGCTGAGGCTCTGAAAACCTGGTGGGACACTAGGGGAACTTACACGTCCAGCAGCAGAGTACACATTAGAGTGGGTGGCTGGGAACGCGGAGGGGACATGGAGCAGCTCTTGTGACCACACCCATCAGGACGTCCCCTCCCGTCCCCCTCCCGCAGACTCACACTTGGTGCTAAGGCCCCCCTAACTCAGGCAGGTGTCTGGCTCCCATCCCGCCATAATCAGGGAGTCACCGACCAAGGGCTCCCTGGTCAAGAGTGTGAAACGTTCTTGCAAAAACCCCGAGTTTGAGTCCGGACACCCGCCTTGGGCTGTTCACAACCACCTAAGATGGAAATGCTGGGGTCTGGAACCTTTGGCCTCCACAGGAGCCTCCCTCACAGACATAGTTAAAAATAAACTCAATGATAATTATCGTTATTTCCCGGGAAGGAGTCTCAGCTAGGGTTTCCAGAAGTTTCTGTGTCCAGGACCGCCCCTCGTCATGTGTGGTGACCTCGGGTAGGGGCAATCCTCCTGTATGAGACTCCCCAGTGCTGAGAAGCAGAAACTGATCTTTTGACTGTTCATGACTTACTCTGGTCAGCTCAGGTCACATGGTCACCCCTGAGTCAATCATGGTGCTATTCCTGCTAATCACTGTAGAATGGACCTCAGGCCAGGATCCGGAGGGGACAGAAGTCCTCCCGACAACAGAGACAGCATTTGTCGCTTGCACAAATAGCTCAGTATGGAAAGCTGTGTGACATTTGGACAGTCTCACCCTCTCTGTTTCTCCACTGTGAGAACAAGAGCAGAGAAAATCTAATTCTGAGACAGCGCTCAGGGACCTACAGAGGTTGCTGACTCTCTTCCAGCTCGACCCAGCTCAGCTTCCCCAGAGTGAGAGTGCGAAATAGCAGGTGTGGCCCTCATACCCCATTCCCAGATGAGGAAACTGAGTTACTGAGAGGCCAGGTTTTCTGGTTCGAGAGCGAGCTGGTCTTTCTCAGACTCACTGTCCACCATGAAGCTGTTTGCCCCCCTGGAGATGGGCAGGGAGGAGGGGGAGCCAGTGCCCCCCCAGTCCTGACTCACCAGCCTGGGTCACTCTGTGCCTGGTTCACACATCTGTTCCCTGGGGGGGGTGCTTATTCATTTCCATGGCAACCGTGTTGTCGCCTTTCTGACTAGGGCTGAGTGACAGCCGTGGGGACCAGATGAAGTCCCTCGCCGCCCACGCCAGGAGGGAGGGAGGGAGAAGGGGGGCACTGTCCCTGAGGGAGACCTCTCAGTATGTGGCAGGCTTCCCAAGACAGACGGGTCCTGAAGGAGAGAGCGCCTGGAGTGCATCGCACAGCACCTACTGTGTGCCCTGGGGTGTACACAGTGTGTGCTAGGGAAATACCTGGAGGGCAGAAGGGAGGGGCCGGGAGATTGCGGGCATCTCCTGCAGTGGCAGAGCCTCGTATCAGTCAACTAACCACAGGCCCTCAGCACCTGCTGTCATTCTCACCTCTCCCCAGAGCTGGAAGGGGGCTGGTGGGGCATTGGAGGGGGTCTGGAGGGAGATGAAGGGGGCTGGAGGGGTAGGAGGGAAGATGGAGGGGGCTGGAGGGGGCTGGAGGGAGGTTGGGGGAGCTGGAGGGAACCGGAGAGGGCTGGAGGGGACCGAAGGGAGGTTGGAGGGGGCTGGAGGGGTAGGAGGGAAGATGGAGGGGGCTGGAGGGGATTGGGTTCCTGCCCCGCGTCCTGGCCCCCTCAGTGGCTGGGAGGATTTCCTCAGGAGTCGGGAGCTGGACAGGACTGCTTGTCTGTGGGAGTGAGGTCCCCATCACTGGGGCAGGGTGACACCTGAGCCCAGGGATGGGGCTACAAGGAGGGTCAGCTCCTCATCCATCCCCTGTGCAGGGCTGACACAGAAGCTGCAGACTCAGACCACACAGGGTCCCACGGGGCTTGTCTCCTGCTCAGTGGGGTGATGCTCAGTGGAACCAACAGGGTGTCAGAGACTTGAGGGTGACAGGGACATCCACGTGAGTGAGTGAGTTCCAGCAGTTCCCGAGAGGAAGAGCAGGACCAGCAGGGCCAGGAACTCCCCATGGTGAAAGCCGTTCACCCCAAGTTGCTCAAAACCCCTTGGTCTGTGGCCTCAACCAAAGGACACCCAGCCTTATGTGGGAGCAAGTCCGTCTCTGGTGCACCCAGGTTAGAGACTGCGGCTGCCTGGGGCCTCATAGTGCAGTGTCGTGTGACCACCGGAAGGGCCTGCCTGGTGGCACTGGGTTCTTTAACGTACCCCGTGCCAGCCTCACTTCAGTAAAGGTGGGGCAGCACTCCTGACGAGGGTGACAGCAAGCGGCTGCCCGTGACACTGAGCGTCTGGGGCCACATGCCAAGGGAGCCTGGTCCTGGCGTGTTCTGCAGAGCCACTGGGGACATGGCTCTAGTGTGTGCAGCATAGCTGGGGGTCCCAGAAGCCCTGTGTGTCCCCCACTTGCTGGTGGCCTTGAAAGGGGCTTTTCCTGCCCAAAGTCAACTGCCAGCTGCTGCCAAAGAGTCGCTGGGGTTGACACAGTCCAGCCTCTTAGCCTTTGTGAGTCACTCCAGCTCAGAGTCTTCTTCTCTGCCCGAGTCTTTCTGTTTGTCGTGTCTGTCCCTGCCTGACCGCCACAGCCCCGTGCTCTCCCAGATGCAGCCACAGGGAAGGGGAAACCTCAAATTCCACTCACACACCTGACTGCAGCCAGTGAGCTAAGATTAGGCGAGACACAGAAGGTCATGGGGCCAGATGCCTGCCCAGCTTCCCCTGTGCCTCAGTGTCCCTGAGGCATGAGGTGTGGCCCATCCCCCATGACTCTGATTCCTGAGGGCCCATCTCCATTGAGCGCCAAGATAAAAACCTCATTAGCCCCTAAACACCTGCAAGCAGGAACATGAGGAGCGTGAATAATTTATTTTGTGAGTATTTTAATATTTTATAGTAACTGTGTTGAGCAGTTTGGTTGTGCCTGGCGTCAGTGGTGGCATGACAGAGCCAGCACCAGCTCCAGCCGCTGTGGCGACTGCCGATGGGCTCAGGTGACAGGTGTCTGAGGGAGAACCGTGGAGCTCAGGCCACTGGGTGAGTGGAGGCAGACCTAGTCTATCGAAGGTGACCAGACAGAGACAGTGGGCAATGGCTGCACTAAGACATACCACAGCCATCTGTGCTCATCCATTCATTCACTGTCTAACAGCCCTTGCTGCATTCAAATTAAGCTCTGACTTCTAGGACTGGGGTGTAGTTCACAGCTAGACTCCTTTCCCAGACTGCTCAGAGCCTGGGTTTCATCGGTATCTTCAGAATATCACCAGGCCTGGTTGCATCCCTGCTGTCCTAGAACCTGGGAGGTGGAGGCAGGAAGACCAGGAGTTCCAGATCCATCCTTGGCTACATAGAAAATTCAAAGCCGGCCAGGCATTGGTGGCGCACGCCTTTAGTCCCAGCACTCGGGAGGCAGAGGCAGGTGGATCTCTGTGAGTTCGAGGCCACCCTGGTCTACCGAGCAAGTTCCAGGACAGCCTCCAAAACAATGCAGAGAAACCCTGTCTTGAAAAAACCAAAAAAAAAAAAAAAAAAAAAAAAAAGCCAGCCCGGGATATACGAGACGCTGTTTCAAAAACTACAAGTGAAACATAAACAAAAACTTCCCTACCACTCCAGTCACACAAACTCCCCTGCTGTCCTCCTGACGCACAAGTACATTCTGCCCCAGGATGTTTGCGCTTGGGTCCCCCTCCTCCTGGTGCTCTCCTCACCCTAACTCCGTCTGTGACAAGTCCTCGAGTCACATCCCACCTCCACAGCTTATCATGGTGAAAGCTGGAGAGATGGTGACCAGTGGGAGGCTGTGCTTGGCAGGGAGCATCATGTGGGCAAAGATTTGGTGCCAAGAGCTAGCGTCTGAATCAGCTGAATTCCAGGATGAGCAGGTGGAGGGGTGGGCGGGGCTGAGAGAAGCAGTTTTGGGGGAGAGGGTGATAGGAGAGAGGTGAGAGGCTGTGGGAAAAGGCTAGCGGGTGGGGAGACAACAGAAAGAGGCCGCGTTGGGGCGGTCTCAGGAATTCAGATGAACGGTTTGGGCACCACCCTGGGAAAAAGGGCACAGGTCCATTCCCTGTGTCCCTATACGCTGGACTGTGTTTTGCCTTTCCCGAAATGGTTAACTACATGTGTCTGGGTTTTCCAGGGCCCCTCAAAGATCACCGGCTCAATTTCTTCCCTCCTAAGGATCTTAGCCCTGGCTGACCTTGCATACAGAAGTCCTGACACCTACCAATAATCCTCCCCCCCCACATCTCATGGAGTTGAGTCACTTGGGGTGTGGCTAACTAGCCATGAAATGCACTCC